CCCCCCCTCCAGTGTTTGGCCCAAATGACCTCAGAAAAAGCTTCAGGATATCTGGTGTCTTCAGGTTGATCTGGCTGAAGCTTGGGGTATTATTAGGAGAAAAGATCCTTTTTTAGGATCTAGAAGCTACTTCTGCTTTTGTGAAACAAGATTTTGTGTTTGTTTGGAAACAATAACAATCTAAACTTTCCTTTAACAGTATCATGATGAAACCTGGAGGAATTATTTTTCTGACATAAATTTCTTCCCAAATGCTGTTTACACGCACTGCTACGACTCTTCTGGGACGAAACTGTTTGTGGCAGGAGGCCCTCTTCCATCAGGACTTCATGGGAATTATGCTGGTCTCTGGAGCTAATGATAACTCTTTATAAATGCTGATCTTTACACAGATTTCCATTTTATTTTCCTTTTTTTAACAACAAAATTGTGTGATGCCATTGATTTCTGATTTTAAATACAAATTATTTTTCGGCAGAGTTTTCTGTTGGTCTCCAACAGTTTTGTACATCTTTTTGAACAGTTTTTTGCTTTAACCTCCTTGATCCTTTGTATGAAGGGTTTTTGAAGTCCCTTTTTATTGTATTTACCCGAAATGACTCTTCCCCCCACATTTAGGCTATCTTGGCCATGTGCCCCCTCCCCTACTTTGCTGTGAGGTAGGATTCCTTTCTTATAGAGTGGTTGCTCCTGGACTTTCTGTGAAAATCTTGGGGCTGCGTGTGTGCAGGTACTTTGTGTCAGTTACATTACCTGGAGTGAAGACTACTTGTAATTAAAAAATATTAAAATATTTATAAGAGATAAGCTACTACTTTTATCTGCAGAGCCCTGGCCCTGGCCTGGGTTGATCTTATTTTTTAAAAGTACAAGTCTAATGACACTGTTTATATGTAGAGGAATATGATAATTTTAAGCTGTACTCATTGAAGCCCTGGGATGGATTCCCTAGTGGTATTGCCCATTAATCCCAGACTGCAGAAGTGCAGGGGTTCTCAAAAGTGCATTTGTATTTGAATTGTGGTTTTCAGCAGTCCCAGGAATAAAAATTGATCTTCTGTTTCTTTTCTGCCTGTCCCAGGTATCAGCTTGCCCAACAGGAGTTTGCATAGTCAGTTCTGCAACATGGTTGTTGCAGAGTGACATTACATTAAGGTCCTGCAGAGGTGCTGAGAGGAAAGGGGGGTTAGGGACGTGAATGTTCTTGTCATTTCAAATGAACTAAATCTATCCATTTTCCCGATGAGCCAAGGTTACCGAGTATGCTACTGTGGTAGCTCATGGGTGCTTCATAAACTGCCTAAAACCCAGGACCTTTTTTGTCCCAGGTTGTGGAAACTTCCCATTTTTAGCTGTTCTGGTTGGCCATCTCCTCTAATAAACCACTGGAATAAATAAACGCTTCTTTTTCTCTGAGGTTAAAGGGTCATCTCTGACTTAACTAACACAAGCTGGAAGCTTTCCTTGTAGCAAGATAACCTTGCTGTTAGCTCACATTGCGCTAGCATCTGCTGTCATCCTGCTTGCTATGGGAGAGTCTCAGTCTTCCCCCCTATGCCCTGGTGCCTTCTGCAATCAAACTCCCTTGAACTTCATGGGGGACTGGATGGGAAGAAAAGGTCTGGTGCCCTTCAGGTCCAACTGTGAAATGTGTGCATTCCAGGGTGACGGGTCTTACCTAATACTCAGCTAAAACGCTGGAGGACTCCAGGGTGCTCCTCCTAGCCTTTTGGCAGGCCCCAGACTCTTCAGGTTGTTACAGACACCTCTGAGCTCTGCTGGGATGAATGCCTTTTCTCTTCCCGGGTCACCGGTGGAGCAAAGTGTGCCTGGACCTCACTGCTTTGGTGCCAAATGGGCAGTTGACTGAAGCTGAGAAGACAGACAAGGCTGGGATATGCTTTGTTCTGTCTCTGCTGGAGATCACAGCCACACTGCAGAGTAGTTCTAGTCCCTTACACAGTTCCTGCCAGACTGCCTAAAGCTAGTCTGCATGTGTCCCTGTGGTGCTTCTCATCTCTGTACTCAGTATCTTCATCAGTAACGCCAAGCAGTGAGCCTCAGGCTTAATTTCCAGTTGGTAGTGGAGACTTGGATGGAAATCCTGCAGGGAATGCAGTTCCCTCCCATCCGGGTGGAAGTCTTGGCAAGAGAAGAGCTCTCCCAGATGTGCACCTGTCCCAGAAGTATAATTTACTCACACTGATCAGACAGAGGTGATTCACAAACAGATCTTATGTTTTGTAATTCTACTTCCCTTATGGGCTGGTTGCTTAAACTGAATCAGTTAGTGGCACTGCATGTGTGGCTATTCAGGCCCTTTTCTGAAAGGGGAAATTTCTATACCATGGAGTAGCTAAAGAACTCTCAAATTTTTATTATAGATGTTATAATGGTGTCTGTGGTCTTCTGTGATGGCAACATGTTGCTTTGGTTATTTTAGGGGGTTTGAACAGTGGAAGTATACAGAGGAAAACAACTCTTGTTGAAGTGATCACTGTCACAGGGAGCATGTTCTGCTTAGTTATTTTACTTGGTTTAAAGTGCTGCTTTTTTTAAAAAAAAAAAAAAAAAAGAAAGAAACTAGACACTTGAGTCTACTTGAGTGTCCTCTGGTTCTGCTGAATCAACAGTTACTAGTTAGGCACTTCGTGTCACCAGTGCCATAGGAAAATCCTGGTCTGAAAATACTAGCCCTAATGTTGATCTGTTGAAGCGTATTCCAGGTCTGGGTGAGGGGGCAAAAAGGGTATTTGTATAGACTGAGCTGCAGCCTACAAAGAGAGGCTGATCTTCCCGCAGAGTCTCTAGGTTGCTGAAGAGGCACCCTTGTAAAGCGTCCCTCTGCTGTCTCTGATCTTCCAAAGTACCTCAACGTGTGGTCCTGAAGCCTGGTAGTGTGAGTGCCCTTTTCCTCCTTTTTTCTGCATAGGAAGCTTTGGACAATTCTCAGAAGAATCTGGTCAATGATGTAAAATTCCTTAGGTCTCATGCTTCTGTGTATTCTGCTTTCAGAGTGCTTTCTTGCAAAGATAACTTCTCATGGGGAGGGAGCCATCCTGTTGCTGTATGAAAATCCCCTCAAAAACTGGAAACAAACTAGACAGTACTGCAAGCATGCAGTACTGGGCCAGAGAGAACTTGATTTCTAGCCTGTTTCAGTGGTTTTAAATGCTTGTAGCAATCCAGATGTTAAGTTTCTGAATATTTTGTGGTGGTCGTATGTCACTTTTGGCCCAGACAGTGTTAGAAATCGAGGCAGAGAAAGGTGATGATCTGCTAGCTGTCCAAAGATAAGTGATAGGAGAAAAAGCCAGATTTTCTTATTTGATTTGATTTTGTTGCCCTACTGGTTTAGACATCAGAACTGAAATGCAGGGTCATGGTGAGAAATGCAGGGATTTCCCATTGAAGTGCAGGAATGGCTGTATGCAGGAAAATTCCAGGCTCCTCATGGAGGTGTGTTGGCTGCACCCCGTTGTTCAAATGGCAGATACACCCCTGTGATGGATGGAATTCAGTCTGGTCCACTGCACTTTGGTAGCTTTGTGAATGGCTCACTCCGATGAGACCCAGTGACATGCATGTTTTTAGACAGTTCTATTGTTTCCAGTGTTTCTTAATGATTTCCCTCCCTTTCTCTTTCCTGCCCTCCAGAATGGTTTGTTTGGGGTTCCCTCTTCTACCCCAAATCATCCAAGTCTTTACTGTAGCAATATCATACTTGCAGAGATGACCTCTGTCGAGCAGAAATGGGCTTGCTAGCGTTTTGTTAAGCTATCTTTGAGACATTCAGTTTGCTTTGTTTTAAACTGGGTAGACCTTCGAGGCTGGCTCAGACTGTAGAACTGGGCAGATGCCCTTGTACATGTTTGCCTGATGAGATTACACGGAAACAGTCTGTTGCTGGGTGGAACAGACTCTGGTTTATTTTGCATTAAGCACTTGAAGGAGAGGAAAGAACACAACACATAGACCTTCAGACTTTTCTTCCTGCTACTGACTTTTCAGTCATGTGGGATATTTAGTGCTTCTGGTGAGTGTAGGAAGCAGCTAATTTTACTGCTCAGCTCTTTTCAGTAGACTGCCATGTTCATTCGGGTGTCTTTGGGTATTACATTTTCAGTATTCATAATCACAGGTAATCAAAACAGTGATTTAATTATGGGTTCAGTAATACCCAGCTGGTAAGTACTAGGTAGCAATCTCTCAGTAACAATTGGGTGTTATGTGATGGACGTTTCTAAGGAAGCAGAAGCTACTTTGCAGGGTTGTCTTGAGCCTAGCAGTGAGGGTGGTGCTCACCCTCTTCACCGAACACCTTATTCCTGGTAATTCCTCTAGTTTTCTTCCTTGTACAGTCAAGTCAGCCAGGGAGAGTTACTAGTACTCTCCTTGGGTGCTTTCTGGGATTGCTGTAAAGAAGTGAGTCCATTTGTTTGGCTCCTTCATCAGTGCTGCTGGTGTTAGTCCAAGGTGAGTAAATTACCAAAGAATAGTTAATAGGTGTTTGTTCCTAGTCTCAGTTGTTATTTTCCACATAGATCCATTTTTAAGATTCATTGCCAGAATGCTCTGTGATCTTACTGGACTTTGTCCACAAAGGTTACATTCACATTGTGGGTGACTCTTGTGACTCCCTTAATGAGGGGGACTCATGAACTTCTTTATGGGGATATATTTGCTGCTTCCATTTCAAGTCTTTGGCAGCTTTTTGTATCTTAAGGATTAAGATACTTTTGTATCAAGTTGTTGTTCTTCAGAATTTCACTTGCTTTGTATATAGCTTGCAGCTGCAGTTAATAGATTGAAGTTATGATTCAGCTATGTTGAGTAGTGTTTTGGTGTCTTTTAATTTCTGCCCCTCAGCTGAGAGACGCTTAGCGATGTCCCTCAGCTGGTGCCGATGTGAAGTAAAGCAGGCTTGCCTAGACCCTTCATGGAGGTCACCTGTTGTGTTTGTTTGCAAGAAACCAAGAACAGAGAAGCTGTCAGTCACTGCATCTTGGCAAAGCAGCAGCATCTTTCAGCAGACAGGTAGGAATGCTGAGATCTGTTTGTGGTGGTCTGATACCCTAATTTTCCATAAATCCACTTTTCAAGGTGTCTGAGGTTCTTAGATTTTGTTGCAGTTACTGTTATGACTCAATTACAGAGCTTGGGTACAGCTTGTTCCTAGGAATACTGTTGCAGAGCTGTGCGTGATGCAGGCAGAGCTGATCCTCTGGCCAGCTCATGCTGAGCCCTGGATGACTGTGTTGGCCAGGCACATGCTCTCTACCTTAAAGCCGAGTGAAAATCCCAGTGTGCCCTGCTGGCCATCCCACAGTTAGAATCCATGATGTGACCTCAACTTAAAATGCATTTCTGAGTGTTGTAGGGCCATCCGTAACTTATTTGAGTCTGTGAAGCACAGACACTAGGAATTTGTGCATGTTGCAGACAAGGGATTGTGGAAAGGAGAATACAGCCACATCTTGCCTGAAGGGATCTCCTGCGTATGCTCTCCCTTGCCTCTGCAAGTGGGACTTTGTGTGGTGAGGGTGGGCAAGGGGGCATAAGAGAAAAGGTAAAAGCCCAGCAGTGTTTGGTACTGCTGTCCAGCCTCCTCCTGTTCATTGCTCAGGAGGTACTTGTGAAAGGGCTTAATTGGAAACAGTTTCAGAGCAACCAAGTTGATATCACTGTCATTCTTGTTTCTCCATGATAATTTTCAAGGGTTTAAATTAGAAAGTGTCTTTTTGCTTGTGATGCTGTTTCTTTATCAAAATCCTGTGGTACTTGGCTAATTAAAAGAATGCTCTTTGACTGAAAGGAATCTTCCCAATTGAAAATTGAATGCCATTTTCTATTATGTTACTGGGAGCAGTATGGTCTAAGAAAGTCCACACAGATCTAAAACAGGATGCCAGGGTTGGCAGAGTTGGGAAAATGTGGGCTGCCTGACTATTTCTGTACCCAGAAAAATACCAAGTGAAACACTTAACTGTATACAAATTCTGGTCATTTGACTGAAACTGAGAGGGTGTGTAAAAGCCCCTTGCAACATAGTGTGATGTCTCTGTAGTCCTAGATGTTGATTCTTTGACCTTAGAATAAAAATCTAGGAGTAAATACATTGTTTTCTTAGGAACTGCTTTTCTAGATTCCCTTATTAAAAGGGAAAATTCAGGTGCTGAATCTTAAAATCTCATTAAACTTGTACTTTTTATTTGCCCATTTACCTGGTCTCCTTTCCTTTCCAAGGCCTCCCACAGTCTCAGGGTATAAATCACTATGACTCATCCAAATAATACTGAAATGGTTGGACTAGATGATCTTCAAGGTCCTTTCCAACCTAGTTGATTCTGTGATTCTGTGAAATGGACCAACCAGAGGTTAATGTGCCTTCCTCTTCTGGTACCTTGATCTTTGTTGTTATCTCACAAACCTGTCACTGTCTTAGGGCTGGGTATGTGCGTTGTCTTTTTCTAAGATGTATGTGTTGAAGTTGCAACAGGTTTGTACTGTTAACTTGTGACTTGTTCCATGTGTTCTAGGATGTGGTGTAGACACAAATCAATGCACTGGTTTGTCTTGGGATCAGTCTTACCTGTGACATCTATCAGTGCTTGCTTGTATGTTACTGTGTACACAAATGCTGGATCTTCCCCATTGCCCGTGATGTGTATGATACACCAGCTACACAAGGTGTTTTAAAATGTGTGGTGATCACAACTTGTTGCCTGAGGGTAGGATGTTCTACAGTGAACTTTTCAATGTTTTTTTTCCAAATATATTTAATAAGATCCAAAGCCTTGGGAGGGAAAAAGAATAAATCAGGACTTGCTGATACTCACTGGCTTTTGTTCTGAATCCAGGTTCTGATGTTTGTTAATAACTCTTGCAATTCCACCCGTTTAACAGATCCTTTTTCAGCTTGCTGTTTCTGTTGTGAGCTGTGTCAGAAACAGCACTGGGTCCTGAACTATCACAGAAGCTGTCAAGTGAAGTAGTAACAGCTCTCTTCAAGTGTTACAGTGCACATTTTTAACTATAAGGTAAAACTGTTCAAAATTATTGATGCAACTTGCAAATGGAACAGTGGGAAATTGCAGATAGTATGCAAAACCAGGCTGTCTGCATACAGGCTTAGTGTTCTGTTACCTCGTAAATTATTTCTCCTCTCTGAAAATTGATTTTTTTTCTTTTAATACGAAGACATTACATGTTTGGCTTTGTTTTCTGAAGTGGCAAATGATACCTTTGTTCTTAAACTAACATCTGGAATTTGGAGTGAATTTCCATCTCTTATGCAGATAGCTGAGGATGGTGTGATTAATACAAGATGTCCCTTCCCAGCTGTAAGGTTAATTTTATCATAAGAGCATGGAAACAGGAACACTCACTGTGGCCTTCAGTGGGCATGCATATCCATAATGAACTGAAATACAGTACTGCACTCTGTTGATCCATGAGGCTATTTTTGGTTTTAGAATCAACCTGATAAGTCATCAGTGCATTGACATTAATACATGGGCAAGGAGCTCTCATGTATGTGTTTCCTGTGCTAATTGTATCTGTTCTCTCTGTACCCCAGTGCAGACTTAATCTGGAGTTCTTTTTACTTCTTGCTAACTTCAGAGTTTCTTCAAATTCAGTAAGGTCCTGTTTTTCACAGTCACTTTTCAGAGTAGAACAGATGGGTTTAACTTTTTCTAACCTTTAGCATCTTCTTCTTCTCCGACTTCTTCCTTATTTACCTTTAACAATCAGTTCAAAGCTGCTTGCCTAGTCTGAAATATACTGAGTCACAATAAAAAGAAAACCTGTAGCCCACTGTAGAAAGATCACTGTGCTTTTACCAAAAACTTCATTGGCTGACTAGCTGCTTCAAAAGTGGAGGCTCCACTCCTGCACAGTCTACAGAAGCTGAAATTCTTTCACGTCCATATTGTATTGTGCATTGTCAGCAGATCAGGAAGTGGATGTGCCTTGCATCTGCACCCAGTGTGTTTGTTAAACTCATCAGTGGTAGTTCAGTTAACCAGAGAACTGGCATCTTTGGCCACTACTCAATGTCATAACTAAAGGTTTCATTGAGGGGAAAGCAAGGAGAATGCATTGCTGACTTACTGCTGATGATGCCACTTAAATTATTTTTCTGCACATTTTTTTGTCTTGTGCATATTTGGTGGATTATGGAAAAAAAAAATAGTAGGGCTATGAGCTAAACTCTAACCTTGTGCTCAAAAGGCAAAAATTATTATAACAGGCTTTGGCCAGGAGTAATGCCAAAGTCTGGCCACACTCAGAGATGAGCTGTTAATGGAGTGTTTGAGCAATGGAAGCCTTGAGAATTTGCTCCATCATGCCTTATGCTTATGTGACTGAAGATCAGTTGCTCCCAGAGCTTGTGAAACTGCTGGTCATCCGTCTTCAGATGAGATGTGAAGATGGCATGGGGAAGAACTAGTTTCCTCCATGGTTGCTCACTCTCCCTCTCATCACTCAAGGTTACCAGTGCACTTTTCTCTGTTTCCATGGCTGGCTATGACTGGCATGCTTTATAGCTGCCACCAGCCACTTCCACGTGCTTCCTGCCAGGGTGGTGGTGTGAAAGGGCCTTGTCTGCAGGGCCTTGTCTGCAGCTCCCTCCACCTGGTTGGTGGTTGATGTGCAGAGGTGTAACAGGCCACAATTGGCTGCTCTAGCCTCCTCTCAGTGCAGGTGTGATAGTGGGACCATTTTGAAAAGATCTGGATAAGTAACTTCTAATGGGCTGTGTCACTCTTGTTCAAAATGCTGTTTCCTCATTCTCAACCTCTTGTCCTGGCCTCACTCCTGTCTTGCCACCCTCTCTACCCCCTGGGACTTGGGCACGTTCCCTGTCCTCTCATGGCTTACTAGGTTAGATACCAGTTCTGCAAAGCCTGGGGGCACCTGTTAGACCTGTACTACAGTTTGAGACTTACACACTTACTTAGGCAGTAGCTTGCTGAACTGGGTCTTTGTTCACAGTCTCCCTAGACTCAGCCCTGGATATTTCCCTGGTCTGGTACACATCTTTCAGTACAAAAGGCTTTGCTCCAAATTCATTCCTGTTCCATGAAGGAGCTGATTCCTCTATTGCTGGCTATTTCTATTTGGTGGCTTTTATTTTTCTTGTTGTTTATTCTGGGATTCCCTTCATATGTACAAAATCATACTGACTCTCTCAACTCTCCTGAATGTCACACAGGGGCCCACCCTGTGAGGCATCAGAATTATCTGTCTACTTCCAAGGTGCACATAAACAAGGATCTCTTACACAGACTTTAGGGAGGAAAAAGCAGCTGCATACACACAAATGGAAAGGTATCTCTGGGTAGAATAGGTGAGGGAGCAGTTTTAAGAATTTTAAATAGAAGAACAGTAACTGCGTTTTTTGGGTTCTTTTTTTTTTAAAAAAAAAATTGCTTTAACAGGAGGTTTGTGTTCTAATTTGCAAAAGGTTGCAATGTAAACTGGGGTTTTCTATTCATCAATGCAAAATGTGCCTCTCAACTATAATGCAAAAGTCAGTCTCTGTCTCTCTGTTTGCAATGGAAGAAGTTTAACTGAAGACTGATTTATTATGTTTCTCGCTCTTATGTGTAATCATCCACAGCAGTCTTCGCTGTTTTTTCCCAAGCACTATACAGCACTATCCCCATTTAAAAGCAAAATGGGGATTGCATTGAGCAGTGGAACCTGCTGAACTTCCGTAGTTTGAGAGAGACACTGAAGGGGAGTCCAGGTTCCATGCATTTTAAATACAACTTTAAACCAATGCAGCTAGTCTCTCAGATCAGCACCACTTCCTACCTTTCCCTCCCTTTAGATAGGAATTTAAAAGTAAACCCAGCAATATGTGATGCAGTTGACAGGCCAGCTGGGGTTTACAGCTTCAGCAATATGTGATGTAGTTGACGTGCTTGCAGGTGGAACATGGGGGTTTTGAAATTTGAGGATTGAGATTTCTCTTGTGGAAGAACTCGGTGTGGGTGCAAGAGCTCGGATCTTGGATTACAGCTCTTCTGCCAGCTTGCTAAATGCAGTCAAGTACTCTGGACTCTTCTGAAGAAGACTGTGGTAGAGAGCTGTGAAGGTGTAGGCTGGAACTGATCATTTTAGGTCATCTGTATGTTGCTTGACTACATGGACAATGTAACAGTGATTTTTACAGATTGCTTTCCCTATGTCAGTTGCAAACAACTTAATTTGCCATTTGGAGGAAAACTGTTAATAGATTTCCAGATCAAATGAAGAGCCTAATTTTCCATCTTGCATTAACCGGGTTACTGTGCACATGCCAGAAAGATGTCGCTCTTTGAAAAAGCATGTTAGTGTATGTGGCAATGACCCATGCACTTTTTAAATACCTAGACCTGTACATTCTCACCTGAGTATCGTTAACTATGCTGTAGTCTGACAAATTGATCTTTTACTACTGCCCTGTTATATAGATAATTGTAATTAACTGCAGTTTGTTTTTTCCACTACTTGAAGTTGTGTGATCTGAAAATTGGTGAACAAATAAGTATTTGTGCATCTTACTATGGATATCTCTAAATAAAATGTATTTGTATAGTGTGTTGGCTTGGCTGATGGTTTCCTTTATTTGCTAATCATCCGCTGCAAGTAAATCCAGGACAGTTTGAGCAAGTAGGCTTGGGTTTCAGTCCAGCCTCTCTGTTGACATGATTGATTCAAAGGAAATAAAGTGAACTGTTGTTTTTCCTTCACCAGTGTGTGGATTGACATCCCAAGGGCAGGTTCTCAGCTTATTCCTGTTTTTCATGGCTTAAATATCAGTCCCATTCTCTGTACAGCTGCAGTGACACTCCTTGCTTCCATAGGAAATGTATCTAATGGCAGAGTTGGGGCTGTTAAACTCTTCAAAGCATCTCCTTCCTGTTCTCTTCTTCTGGTATCTCATTTGTTCTGAGGCAAAGGTTGCTTTTCAACCACATTATTATTTAAGGAAATACCTCTTGGAAGTGTTGGACCGTACAGATACCTATAGGTACAGTTAGGTCTAGGACTAAGGGTTTTGGTAAGACTTTACATAACAAAACTGCATCTGTAGCACTAGCTCTTGCACGTATTTTTATTGCATGGGAGAGCGAAGCTCCTCTCCAGCTGTCCTATTTCCCTGCCTCCTCTTCCCTGCCTTGAATTATGAAGGTTATTTTTTGGAGAGGAGAAATGTCCTTAAGAGATTTAAGCTTTATGTTGGAGGTTATAATCATGCGCCTAAAAGCATCTCCTGCATCCCTGTCTTCACACTTGGCCTCACCCTGAGGTGTGCTCATTTCTGTGGTCATGGATAAATGACCACTTTCTGTGCAAGCTATGGGAGACTGTCTCCAGCTGCCCCATCTCTGCTCCTTGTAGTACTGTAGTATTATTGATGCTTGTGGATGCCAAAAGAGGAAGAGGAGACTGTGAAAAGGCATATGAATACTATACTGTCATCCTACTGAGCCTTATACCAAAACTGAGAGATGGAAAAAAAATTATCCCTGGCCCTAGAGACATGTGGGAGACGATGGGCTAGAAAGGTCTCTGGCAGTGAAGGTTACTAACTCCCCAGCTGCATCAGATGCTCCATCATAGAGCATTCAGATGGTGTGGGACCTCTCAGCTGCCTTGCAAGACCTAAAAGGGTCTCTGGAAGTACCAAGACATTGAGCTCCTCCTAGATGTGGGTCCAACTCAAATCTCATCAATAGTGAGTCCAAATCCTCCCCACCAACTAATTCTATTATTCATATATTTTGTCCCATCATCTGTCTTGCAGGTC